GTCTCCTTGAACCCTGCATTCACTATAAAAAAAAAAAAAAAACCCTGCATTCACTATATCTGGTCTCCGTGGACCCTGCATTCACTATATCTGGTCTCCCCATGGACCCTGCATTCACTATAAAAAAAAAAAAAAAAAAAACCCTGCATTCACTATATCCGGTCTCCCCGGACGCTGCATTCAAAATAAAAAAAAAAAAAAAACCCTGCATTCACTATAAAAAAAAAAAAAAAGAAAAAAAAATTCACTATATCTGGTCTCCTTGGACCCTGCATTCACTATATCTGGTCTCCCCATGGACCCTGCATTCACTATATCCGGTCTTCCTGGACCCTCCAAAACTATATCTGGTCTCCCTGGACCCTGCATTCACTATATCTGGTCTCCCTGGAAAAAAAAAAAATTTACTATGTCTGGTCTCCTCGGAACCTGCATTCACTATATCCGCTCTCCCTGGAAAAAAAAAAAAAAACTATATCCGGTCTCCCCAGACCCTGCATTCACTATATCTGGTCTCCCCGGACCCTGCATTCACTATATCTGGTCTCCCCGGACCCTGCATTCACTATATCTGCTCTTCCCGGAAAATTCACTATATCCGGTCTCCCCAGACCCTGCAAAAAAATATCCGCTCTCCCCCAGACCCTGCATTCACTATATCCGCTCTCCCCGGACCCTGCATTCACTATATCCGCTCTCCCCGGACCCTGCATTAACTATAAAAAAAAAAAAAACTCTGCATTCACTCTATCTGGAAACCTTGGACCCTGCATTCACTATATCCGCTCTCCCTGGACCCTGCATTCACTATATCTGGTCTCCCAGGACCCTGCATTCACTATAAAAAAAAAAAAAAAACCCTGCATTCACTATATCTGGTCTCCCCAGACCCTGCATTCACTATAAAATCCGGTCTCCCTGGACCCTGCATTCAAAAATTATATCCGGTCTCCCCGGAAAAAATTCACTATATCTGGTCTCCCTGGACCCTGCATTCACTATATCTGGCCTCCCACAGGACACAGAACATGGAAATGCAATTATTTTCGTAAATATAAAAAAAAAATACCTTTTCTTATCAGCAGTATATAACAGTCTTGTGACTTCTATCAGTGTCCAGCAGAGCACTGGTTAAAGCTTGTAGGAGGAGTTTTCATTTTCTCCTGACTCTCCTATGAGGCTGCACAACCCCTGTCCCTCTGTCTGGACAGTGCTGATTGGCCCTGTGCTGATCACATGCACCCTCCCAAGCAATAAAAAAAAAAACACTCTAGCAATACAAGCCAAACTGAGCATGTGCAGCTTGCCCCCAAGGCTCTGTACTAAATCAAAAGATGGATTGGGGACAGTAGTAGAAGGGGGGATGAGAGAAAAAAAAAAAATCAAACATCCTTTATACACAATGCAGAGGATTAATCCCTTAGGTTCCACAGTGAGTATAAAAAGCATGCTTTACTGCATCTACAGACTGATGTTACTGTTGTGGGTTCAGTAACACTATAAGAGGTGTAAAAAAATTTAAATTTTGGGTACAAACACTGTGGGGGTCATCGGGTATAAAAAAAAATTAAAAAAAAAAAAAAAAATAGTAGAACTACTGCTACAAGGTGGCAGGGCTGCGCAAAAAAAATGTGTATATATATATATATAAAATTACGTGATTTTCAATTCGGGGTAAGGGACAAAAACGCCTGTGCGCTGCCCTACCTGAGCCCCCATTGGCGGCTATGGATGTCAATCAAAAAAAAAAAAAGAAATTCCCCACCGGCACCCAACCATTGCTGCGTGGAACTGACAGGGGAGAGACCTGTATGTAAACAACACAAAAAAAAAAAAAAAAAAAGCAAGGACAAAAAAAAAAATTTCTTTGCACAGCATGTCTCCCTAGTAAAAAACACACAGCACAAATTTTTAAAAAAGCACCCAGTTAAAAAAAAAAAAATCGCCCCAGATGTTAAAAAAAAAAAAAAAAGTGCCATTAGTACAAAAAAAAAAAAAAAATTAGCACTGATCACTATATTAGTATCATTGGGATGTCAGTGGCAGTTAAAAAGTTCCCCCCAGTGCCAGAATGCCCACTGTAAAAAAAAAAGTATGAAAAAAAAAAAAAAAAGTATCTATAAAAAAATTTGTAGACGCTATAACTGTCACGTAAACCAATTTTAATTTACAAAAAAAATTGGGATTTTTTTAGCAAAGACATGGAGCAAAATACATAATATTATAAATAAAAACAAAATACAAACATTTTTTACTGGATATGTTTTGTAGCAAAAAGTCAAAAATATATATATATATTTTTTTAAAAAAAAAGTCTTTTTTTGTTTATAGCGAAAAAAAAAAAATATCGCACAGGCAATCAAATACCACAGAAAGTAAGCTCCATTTGTGTGGAAAAAAAGGGTATCAATTTCATTTGGGTGCAGCATTGCATGACCGCGCAATTGTCATTGAAATTAAAGCAGTGCGGTATTGCAAAAAATGGCCTGGTCAGGACGGAGGGTAAATCCTCTGGAGGGCGAGGGGTTAAAAATGTATCTATGGTAGCGTGATAAAGGGGTTGGAACCCGTGTCAGATTTTTATTCTTTAACATATTTTTAACATCTTTACATTTTTTATTATTATTATTTTTGTTATTTATTTATTTTTGTGGTCAGTGTCCTGGCTAGGAAGATTCATGTTCTCTGTGTGTCCTGGTAAGTGTTGTCATTACAACACTTGTGAGCAAACTAAAAAGTGCCTATAAATTGCTGTTCATTGTATAGTGTGTTCCAAGAAGGCACAGTCTGAACGTGAAAAACATAATTATTTGATTGCTGCAAGACAAGCAAAGTGGTTCAGAAGACAGTTTTATATTTTCCATCATTTTTCTTGGTTTTAAAGTGGTTGTAAACCCTTCCATATATCCAGTGAAGTGACTGGTCTCAGGTGTTACACAAAGATGAAACAAATCTCTCTCTAAACAATTCTTTTCACTACATCGGTTCAAAGTCTGGAATTTATACAGCTCGTCTGAGAGTTCAGAAAACAGGGAGGTGGAGAGCTAAAATTGCACACTTCAGAGCTCAGTGAGGAGAGGTCCAAGCTCCCATCCACACACCTTACAGGCACAGAGATGAGGCTGTCAATCTGCTGGAGATTCCCCTGTCACCATTCGACTATTATAACTCCCTCCTCATTGACCGACCTCATTGCAGGCTATCCCCTCTTCAGTCTATTATGAATGCTGCTGCCAGACTCATCCACCTTACTAACCGTTCTGTATCTGCCACCCCTCTCTGCCAATCCCTCCACTGGTCTCCACTCAGTGTCCTCCATCCCTCTCTGCCAATCCTTCCACTGACCTCCACTCAGTGTCCTCCACCCCTCTCTCTGCCAATCCCTCCACTGGCCTCCACTCAGTGTCCTCCACCCCTCTCTGCCAATCCCTCCACTGGTCTCCACTTAGTGTCCTCCACCCCTCTCTGCCAATCCCTCCACTGGTCTCCACTCAGTGTCCTCCACCCCTCTCTGCCAATCCCTCCACTGACCTCCACTCAGTGTCCTCCACCCCTCTCTGCCAATCCCTCCACTGGCCTTCACTCAGTGTCCTCCACCCCTCTCTGCCAATCCCTCCACTGGCCTCCACTCAGTGTCCTCCACCCCTCTCTGCCAATCCCTCCACTGGCCTTCACTCAGTGTCCTCCCACCCCTCTCTGCCAATCCCTCCACTGGCCTCCACTCAGTGTCCTCCACCCCTCTCTGCCAATCCCTCCACTGGCCTTCACTCAGTGTCCTCCACCCCTCTCTGCCAATCCCTCCACTGGCCTCCACTCAGTGTCCTCCACCCCTCTCTTCCAATCCCTCCACTGACCTCCACTCAGTGTCCTCCACCCCTCTCTGCCAATCCCTCCACTGGCCTCCACTCAGTATCCTCCACCCCTCTCTGCCAATCCCTCCAATGGATTCCCGTTGCCCTACGAATAAAATTCAAAACATTAACAATAACATATAAAGCCATTTAGAACTCTGCCCCAAATAACATCACCAATCTTGTCTCCAAAAATCACCCAAATCGTAATCTCCGCTCCTCGCATGACCTCCTGCTCTCTAGCTCCCTTGTCCCCTCCTCCCATGCTCATCTCCAGGACTTCTCCAGAGCCTCCCCCATCTTCTGGAACTCTCTACCCCAATTTATCAGACTGTCACCGACTCTACTCACTTTTAGGCAATCTCTGAAAATGTATCTCTTCAGGACAGCCTATTCCGCCTTCAGCTAATAACAAAATCTTCTATTCCTACCAGTCCATCCCCCACAGTTAATACCTTTTGTACCACTAGCCCCTCCCTCCTAGATTGTATGCTTCAAGGATCAGGGTCCTCCTATCCCTCTTGTATTGAACTGTATTGTTGCTGTATTGTCTCCCGTTATATTGTAAAGTGCTGAGCAATCTACCCACTGATTATGGCCCATGGAGGAAACCAGGGATTTCATCTGTTTCTCCTGGTCAGAACATGGAAAAGAACTCAGTTCAGCCTTTGGTCACATAGAGAGAGCAAATCAGTCTGCGGTGATGGATAATAAGGTGACAAATGCTGAGAGCGAGGCTTGGATTCATTCTCTCAATAAAGACAATTAAGCTTTCCTTCTGGAGAGGATGGTAAGGTGTAATATTAATCTTGTACAGGTTAATGGTCAGAGGAAATATGGTGGTCCTCCTGTGGACTGGGTTGGAGAAGCTCCTCCACTTGGGACAGAAATATTTATCAACAATCACCCTCAAGAAATCTATAAAGATCAATTAATTCCACTTTTTCAGACTGCAGGAACATTGTATGAGTTTTGTCTTATGAAGACTTTTCTAGTGGACAGATCACAGAAGTGAAAGGCAAACATCTGAAACACAGCATGTATAATGTACTTTATATATTCAGGGGTGTGGGCTTGTTGTTGGGCTGTCTGGGGTGGGTTCCTGGCTGGCCTGGGTGCCTGACTGTTGATTATCTTACTGTTAATTAG